CATTCCAATTTTCTGGCCACCAGGGGAGCTGTCGCTTCACCGTCCATCTGCGACACCGATGAAGTACTTCCTCATTCCCCGCATGCGTGCTGGAGATTTTTTATGGCTTCGTAAATTAGTTAAATTAGCCTCTCCACATAAGTGGTACCTAAAATTCCTACTTGACAGATGCAACTGTCTTTCGGCTTGCAAAGGTCGACAACAAGCTACACAAATTGGCCGGAAGCTCACTCCGACCCGAGCTGGCTTCAAACTCATGACCTTTCTTAATGCAGCTGACACCCAGCCAGCTGCACCAAAGTCCCAGACGGGATACGAATACTCTAAATAAATAAATATGTTCTTGAACTTACCATGTAAATAGAATACTATGAACACCTTCTGTCACATGTTACCAGAGAATTACCCTGGAGGAGGTAGAAAATTCCTAGAGAGGACATATCTTGTCAAATGCGAGGAAATCAAACTCTCAGTAACCATTCTGCAGGCGTGTGATCGTATGCTGTATATAGCTGTATTCTTGCCTGGGATCTTCATTCAAGAAAGAAAAAATATGATCGAATAAACAAGCAAATTTGTGAGATACAGAACATTAAGGACCACACAACTGCATTCTATCTACAACTAGAAGAATCACAACTCATTGTGTATTAAGAACAACAGTGACAATATGGTTTTACTGGGGTGAAATCTAGCTTATAGTTTTAAACTCTGTGTGTGTCCGGTGTAGGACGAAATGCTATGTAAGAGTTAAAGGCATAGAGTGATTTAATGCCTAGAGTGTGAACTGTGAACATTTCCTGTATGCGTCACACATTTCAATGACATGGATTTGAGATTGCTGGGGGTTCTCTTCCAGCCATGTCGGGGAACAAGCAAGAGGCGTGTGTGATTTTTCCTGTACATAGTTATGTTTTGTTATTTTCTGTAGTTTTAAGAAAGTAACTAAATAAAGTACCACTTCAAGGATTTGAAGTTGACAAAGGACTGTGCACTCTGTTTTCATTGTGTGCCTGTTGAACATCTACACAAATGACCAGCCACTGTCAGAACAGACAGAGAGTTTCATCTATGCTGATGAT